TTCTTCACATTAGATCTTAGAGAACAGAGCTGTTGGCTGATTGACAATTACCTCGCCCCTGAATTTGTACAGCTCCGGAGGGAGTCCGTCTAGGCCAACAGACTTGAATCGCTTCAAGTGTCGGAGATCAAGGCAGACCTCCGCTTCAGTGGGTGGTTCCAAGGAGACATTCCAAGGCGCGCAACTAGGTATACTCAATAGGCTCGCCGGCGGAGATCAGCTGAATTGAGTGCGGAAGTGCTCAGCCTAGCGGTTCATACGCCTGTGTAAATTGCGTATCGGCGTTCCGTCGACCCTGCAAATGACCTCACTGACACCAGGTCTTTTTGACCAGTGGCCCAAATGACCTAGAAGAGTTTGCGAAAGTTTCCAGAGAAGGCTGCTGACTCCATCTCTGAGGCGCGCTGGGACCACCAAGTTTAGCGATCAGCACGCAGGCTTTGCTTAAGTGATTGACTGAGAATGCGACGCAATGCACTGCTATTTGAATTGGCCGGGGTAGCACTACGACGATCGATTCCAGTGAGTGTGCGGAAATCCAGCCCTTCAGAGGGCGCCTTGTGACTCCGCAGATTGAATGACTGGAAGTTAGCATCGCTTCACGCAGGAAACTCCAATAATTTCGATGTCTCGAGGTGGAGCACCAATGAATGCATGTGATAAGGAAGCTTGATAAGTTGGTAGAGTAGAGAGGTCAGCTAAGTTGTTGGTGTCGAGTGTAGGGAGCTTTCGTTTTGAGGAGCCGCCGAAGCGCATGCAGATGTCCGGGCAGAACAAAATGGTCCCAGGAAACCAGGCGTCAGTGAGACAATCACAGACAGCGCGGGTGCCGATTTATAATAATGAACGCCGAATGGCTCGTTGGGCAGAACCCTTTAAGTGCAGTTTAGTTAACCCCCTGCTTCCGGACATCTTCCTACCCAGATGTTGCAGACGGAAACATGGCCAGTTAATTTGGACTCCGTCGGAGGCTGAGGTCCGAAACGCGAGCACAGCCCTAAATCGTTTTCGTGCTGTTGGCCCGAATTCGCTCGCACCCACACTATTTAAGGATGGTTGTCTACAAAAGCGCTGACATCCCTATTCGAACGCGTCCGGAAGCAAGAGAAGACACCAGCTAATTAAAGTAAATCAGTAATAGTGGCGATATACAAGAAGAGCAGTCGCACAGACTGTGCTAAGCACAAGGGTATTAGCTTAACGCCGGAGGTGACAAAATTACTGGCCTCAATCCGCGTTCGTCGCCTCACTGCGGAACGGGAATTTCAGGTTAGGGAAGAGCAGACAGGCCTCCGCCCAGGACGGGGCAACACAGACCACATATTCACTTTGCTGTAGGTGCTAGAGCAGCGAAACATATACCTCAGATGGACAATAGCTGTGTTTCGCGGCTTAAAGAGTGCGGTCAGTTCAGTCGATCGATGCATTCTGTACAAAATACTTGCGCGGAAGGGTGTTCGCAAGAAATATCTGAACCTTTTATGTGCACCACAATCGAACACCACAGGCCGCGTCGGGGTCTACGGTGATGGGAGGTTTTCCGAAAACAAGTGGCTTTCTCCATATTTGTACAACTTCGTCATGGACTCCATCATGGCGTGTTCCTTTGCGGAGCCTCACGATGCAGGCGTCGAAGTGACGTCTGGTGAAAAGATAATTATCTTGATTGCGCAGAGGACATTGTCCTGCTTTTTAACGATGTTGGGGCGGCGCAACCAACCCTGGGTAAACTCTCTAGAGTAGTCCCATCATTTGGCGTGCGCTTCGCGCCTTCAAAGTGCAATTACAGGACCATTAGTCACTTGATGCACCCTTGACTCTTGAAGGCGAGGTAGTTGACGAATTCACTTGCCTTGGCAGTTGCAGCAGCAACGATGGGCGCATAGCAACTGAAGACAGTTCATGCACTGCGGAAGTTAAAACTGCCTTTTGGAATCTGTGACATCTGTGGCGTTAGAAAGGGGTTTCACTCCGTTTGAAAGGCCATGTTTACAAGACCACAGTGAGAGCCGTCCTACTCTACGGAAGTGATACTTGGCCCATCCGATCTGAGGACCAGTGGCGCCTTCAAGTCTTTGACCATGGTTATCTGCGAAGCATTGCTGATGTCGGGTGACACCAGGATGTCCGCAACAATGATGTGCGTAAGCGAGTACTAGGCAGGGAAAACACGGCTAGTTCCACAAAACAACAGATTGCACTGAATAAGTTGCGTAGGCTTGGGCACGTACTACATCTGCCTGGTCACCGCTTACATAGGAGGGCTTCGTTTGATCTGCTAGATGTACGGTGGCGCAAGGCTCGAGGTGGATAAAAGTTGACTTGGCAGCGGGAAGTCCCTGACGAGCAAACTCAGTGCCGTCGGTTCGTCATGCCTTCCGGGCTGGAGGCAACGTGACTCGCCTTGAGCTTGGCTCGAGAGTTTACAGGACATGGCACGCAGTGGATACCAGTGGCGCGTCTACTGCTGTCTCCTAGCCAGACAGCAAGTTTAACGTGTGCTTGGGGCTTAGTTACTAGCGGCGTAATGGCTGATTATGACGCGGGGCAGGGAAAGCCACAAGGAAGCTGTCTCGCCGATGCCGCCTTATCTTGGCACGATAGCCGGTTGTTTGTGATGGCATGTTGTCTACACAATGTGTAGGCACCTTGACCCTGAATGTTTGCTTAGGGCATTAAGGTGTTCCGTTAAGTCCCCCTTCTCCCCCTCTTGTTTTTCGTTCCATAGCTCGTTGCACGTTGTACGGCAGTGAAGCATCAGTTCAAGTGGATGGCAGACTGAAGTTAATGATGATGACATAAGGTGTTTGCCTTGTAATAAAAGGATCACCGGTTTGAATCTGTGTATGTGCAGGAAATCTTGCAGTATACCTACCCCGCGCGCGACTGGTAGTGGCCGAACGATGAGGTACCGCTGATGCTTTTCTTGCCTAGTAGACAGTAACATGATTAGTCAGAACAGACAGAGATAGAGGTGTCGACTGCTGTGCTGCGCAGTAACCAGATGAGCCTTTGAATGTTGACTAGAGGGTCCAGTGCTCCCGGAGTCTAGCAAATGTTGTGGATGAAAAGGAATATAACGCAGAAAAAATGTCGTGACTGCGCTCGTCGGTGGTGCGGACAAAGTGTCATGTGTTTAGGATGACATAAGGTTGCTTTAGATTTCCCCACAGGTGGCAATGATATGCTCCACCGTAGGTTAAACTGGTAAATAGGAACAAGTATTCCACCCATCACCTTATCACAGCGAGTGTAGGCGCATAAGAATCCTCTCTAATGACACCGAATCGGAAGGCTAAGCGCAAAAAATTAATCCGTAGACCGGTCACAAATGTTCAATAAGCGAGGTGAAAACAGCACTTCAAAGTTATTCACAAATAATTGTCTCCAAAAAGCAGCCTCTGTGCAGATAAAAACGAAGAAACAAGCCGTTTAGCTATTAAGCAGTCTCAAAAACAATTGACTTCTTTTTCGACGTCAATCCAGAATTTTCCGGAAGTATCTTGAAGTCCCTTCAATACGGGTATATAAGGAGACACACCACAATAGTAATCTTACATTGGTCATTTATCCTACATCTTAGCAATGGCTGCGGTATTGTTGAGATATCAACATCCAGTTACGGATGCTTGTTGTACGAGTTCCTACAGGGGCGCAAAGCGGTCAAGCCCTGTCGAAGCATGCATGGTGTAGTAAGCACGGATACTCCAACTTAATGTATGGTGAAATTGTGGTTTCGATGATTCAAAGTAGGGAACCACGAATTGTCCAGCATCTTCCAGGATGCTGTAAAGTGTGGGTGAAGTTTCGTCACATCTTGGTCATACAAAAACCACTGTTTACTGCCATTTGCGCCCATCCGGGATGGTCTAAAAGCTCGGGAAACTTGTAGCACACGAATTGATCGATGAGCAGCTGTTGAACCGTCGTGCCATCACACTTTCATTGTTTGCCGGAGGACGCAATCATGGATGTATGAACACGATGTCGTTACTGGAGAACAAAAGTGGGTACTCCATATCAACCATGTCAGTGGATCGCAGCGGACAAAACGCCAGTACAAGTCCCAAAAGTCGAACTACATGGAAAAATAGTGACCCTGTCAATTTGGTGGGATCGTCGCGCCGTCATCCGTTGGGAACTGCTACCTGACAATTCCACGGTTATTGCCAATATCCACTGCCAACAACTGCAAAAGATGGTCGACGAACACAGAAAAAAGCGTCCAAGAGCGGCTGGAGTTCTCCTACATGACAATACACGTCCGCAAGTGGCAAAGGTTGCGCGTTTGAAGATTCAGCAGCTCAGTATCGAAACTCGCATGCATCCAACATATAGTCCGGACATTGCTCCAACTGAGTACTACCTTTTCCGTTTGTTGCAAAATGACATCAAGGATAAGAGATTCGATGACCGTACGCATATCGAGAATTACCTTGCCCGATACCGTTACAGCCATCCCAATTCGTGCTAAAAGAGAGGCAATGACAGCTTGCCTGAGCGCTGGAAGTTCGTCGTCGATAATAATGGTTATTTTGGTTAAATATTGTAGCTTATTTAAAATAATGACAGCAAAAGTGTGCTAAAAAGGTCAAATGATTTCGGGACAACCTTATACATATGTGCAAGTAAATGGAGTAGAAATGAACAAAATCCACAAACTAGAGTATAAGAGATGAAAAATTGCCAATGAAGAATGCGCAAAGAAATGAGTTATCTAGCTAAATGTATGAACAATCATCAAGTTGAACTAAAATTTCACCATTAGAGTGATTAAAAGAGCACAAGAGGTGGTGAGTTCAAGTACGGATTTGGAGGAATAACCTGGGGGAATACCAGATGAAAGAACGGGTGACTCGTTTAATAACAAACCGAGGCAGTGACAAGCGCCTCGATTAAAAACTACCACTGGAGCAAAAAAAACGCGGTCACTAATATACCACTGCGGTAAACACTAGGAAGTCAAAGTGATGGGGCAAATATATGCAACACGGGCTCACCTGCTTGATTATCGAGCGGACGTTGTCCAGTGGGATGCCGCGATAGGATGACCTGATGATCAGCTTTAACAAGTTGTGACCAAGGACTTCAAAAACCATGCAAACGTCTACATATGTTGACTAAGGAATCCAGCAGGAAAACCGGTGACAACAACCGTCAGGTGCATATTTGACAGATGTGCATATGGAAACGCACAAAGTAGAGATCAGGGAAATATTTGCTCTGCTATGAAAACTAACTGGATGGGAATGCCAAATGATTTCGCCACAACAGCATCAAACAGAATTCCAGCTGAGGACTGAAGAGATGAAAAATCATCATCACTAATTCGACAGTGCTTCGAAGCATGGTGATTCAATGCAGACCTAACAAACTCTGATCCTATCCGAGAATAATGCAGACGCGCGACTCGCGTTTGATGGAGAACGTTGCATCGGATAGGTCCATTTTAACGCCAAGTAATAGAAAGGTTTTTATGGGTTAACCGCCGATCAACGAAATGTTGAACAGTGGAATAGAAAACAGAATGAAATAACAAAATAACAGGCAAAGGCACCGGCCAAAACATGACGCAGTGGATCGCGTGCTACAATAGCCCTCCGCAAAAAATTTTCGACGTCAACCATATTAGTGACTACCTGATAGAATTAATGAAAATCAGTGTTTGTTGTGCTATGTGCAGATCGACGGGCAACTGTCAGAGCGATCTGCGTTATTCCGGAAAACATAACTAATAAAAACAATAGGCGAAACGAGTAATGTCGTAGACGGACGATCGATCAGGTATTAAGCATATCAACTTGTACGTTGGGAGTAACATTGCAAGGAGGCATCTGTAAGGCAACGCTACCAGCATGTTAGGTTGAGCAAATTCATTTGGGAAGCTGAAATCATGTTTCACCGATGATGAGATTCGACACTAACCAGCACTAACAAAAACAGAGTCTGTATGACTGTCATACGGAGGCCAACGATAACACTGTGCAACAACAAGTTTATAACGGAAATGAGATAGGATGTTACTAGTAGTGTCAAGTGAGCTGATTACGAATAAGTAAACCAAATGTTGCTAGCACGTCAGGGTTTTTATTTCAATTTCTCATTTCAGTTAAGCAGCGCGTTCTATACATCGAATGCTAGCCTGTGATTGGTCCATTGCCACCGTAATCGTGGAACAGAAGTCTTCTTTGCCATGGTAACCATCTGATACTGGAAATAGATTGAGAGCTGTGTTTCCTTAATTGATACCTTGATCATGGCTGGAAAACAATGCTGTGTCAATGACCAGAATCAGTTTTGTCACGTCTGTGGGCAGTTCACTAGAAAGTCGCAGTGCAGACCCATTTCTTCACTACTGAAGTCTGCTTAGCACGCATGTTTCGAGATGAAACTGGGAGATCAGGATAACAAATAGGCGCCGTACATTGTTTGGGTGTTGTACAATGTTCACCTGATTCAGTGGCTCAAGGGCAAAGGCAAGATGCCCTTCACAATCTCCATGGTGTGGAGGGAGCCGATGGATCACATGACAGACTGTTACCTCTGCCTAACCAGTGTCATTGGAATCTCCAACCGAAGCAAGGACATAATTTATTACCCCGATCTTTCATCAGCTATTCGACCTGTTCCTCATGACTGCACCTTACTCATTCCAGTGCCTCCAGTGAACATGTCACTGATGCTGAGTAATGATTCCGCGTCAGCAACTTCCCCTGATTCTGATATATGTGAAAACTTTGAAGCTGATTTTGTCAATCCACATCTTATTGAACAATCAGAGCTAAATGACTTGGTAGGTGACCTGGACTTGCCTAAAGACAAGGCCGAGTTGCCGGCATCTCGGTTGTAGCAGTAGCACTTACTTGCTGAAAACACTATGTATACAGAAAGCGAAATGTTACATCGTTGGGTTTCTATGACACGAAAGAAACCTTTTGTTATTGTTCCGACGTGGAAGGACTGATGCAGGAGCTTGACATGAGGCATATCCGTGGCGAATGGCGTTTGTTCATTGACTCGTCATAGAGTAGTCTTAAGGCTATGCCGCTCCACAATGGAAAAGTGTACCCAACTGTGCCTCAGTTGCATGCCACTAATATGAAGGAGACTTAGGAAAGTATGCAACAGATACTCGTTGCACTGAACTACGATAAGTACTGTTGGAACATCCGTGCTGATTTCAGTCATTAAACTCCTAACTGGTATGCAAGAAGGCTTCACAAAGTATTGCTGTTTCTTGTGTTTATGGAGCAGTACAGTAACTCAAAAGCACAACACAACCGAAAAGTGGCCAGGGAGGACGGAATATGTTGCATGAAAAAGGAGTGTAAGACATACAGCTCTTGCGCAACTTGATCTACCACCCTTGCATATGACGCTTTATTTTATTTAAAAACTTCGTCAAAGCCCTCGAGCGAGATGCCTTGGCGTTCCAGTACCTGTAACAAGTGTTTCCGAATATCAGTGATGCGAAACCCAAAGAAGAGATACTTATTGGGCCTGGTATTAGCCGGATAATGGCAGACAATGCTTTCAAATGCCAGTTGACTTCACTTGAGTTAGAAGCGTGGCGATCATACAAGGCAGTGTGTACAAGATTTTTGGGTAGAACATAGGCAGAGAACTACAAAGACATCACAAAATAGATAATTGCGGATTATCGGGCTGTTGCTGCTCGAATGTCACTCAAGGTGCCCTTGTTGCAAAGTCACCTTGACTTTTTCCCCTGAGAAGTTGGGTTCTGTTAGGGATGAGCATGGTGAGCGCTTTCACCAAGATATTTCAGTCATGGAGCGGCGCCACAGTGGCAAGTACAAGACTTCTAGGATGGGTGACATTTGCTGGTTTCTGCAGCGTGATGGCGCCGGATCAAACAAGCGAGGATCTCGTGGAAGCCATCATTCCCAAGTTGCCAAGCTGCAGATAATAATTAGCAGGGAGTGTTGCAGTGATGTCCTGAAGGTGTTTGCCACAGAGATGCATTACGTACATGTTGCGATTCAGCACATTTACATATAATTCGTACAACGTAGCCTTAACATCACTTAAAATAATCATTTAATTATAACAGTGTAATCTGACGTGTTAGGAAACATCGGAATACATTTCTACGATTAGTGAAGTGTATTCTATTAAGGTGGGAACATTGGTATTCCTGTTATAGAAAATCAATCTTTTGTTGCACAGTGTAATCGATTAGGTTTTCTGTACTCTAGTCCAATATAGGGAGTGAACCGAAAGTCATCAGGTGTCCACTAGCAATCTAGTCGCCAAAAAGCATAAGGTGAAAAAAACTAGGCAATCGTTCAAACCTCACTGGTTCTGAAATTCCCCTATGTAATGATGGACCGGTGCGCTTTCTTAAAGACCAAAAAACCGATATACATCCAAAACTTTTTGAAACCAAGTGCTACAGGCTTTATTACGTGCCCTGTACTTCTACTGGATGTTGCTGTCCCAGGTCAAAGATAACACAGAAATAACTTTCGAGATAAGTGATTCACTCATGGTAGTTGATAATTTTGAGAACCCATCATCATCATCAGTACAAGTAAGCTGAGGGTGAGAAAGACATCAGCTAATGTGCAGCAATACAGGAGACTAAATAAATTACACTACAAAAAAATGATAAGTGTTATATTATGCGTTTTGCATCACATGTAGTCGAGTAAATGCCTGAAGCAAAAACATTAAAGGAAATAGTGCGATACAGCGAAGAATCAATAAAAAGTGTTGAGGTGCTACAGATATTCCTCGTGTCAAGTCGAATGATCTTCTAAACTGTGTGCGGTTCGAGCTAAAAGTAGTCCTGCTCCTAGCAAAACTGCATCAGTAAAAACCAGAGGCCAATGAACTTCGCGGAAAAAGTTCAACAACAGTCATTAAGGTCTGGTATACGGTACAAGGAGGCTAAAATGCTAACTACCATTATAAGTAAACCAAAAAACCTTTGGTTTATAGAACTGTCACTGCTAAAATAAATAGCGTCGAATGGTTAAATCAACTAAAAAAATATTAAGAGGTGGCATTCCACTTGAATTTTCCGGAATTTCTATATGGAACGTCAATGATCTCGATAATTTTCTCACAAAAATAGTGGGGTTCTTGGGAAAAACAAGACTTGGTGGCATTTCGGTGTTATCTCTCACAACGCTGGAATTTCATGACCGACTTCGTCCGTGTTTGGACTCATCAGGTGAAGATAGCCTGAGCTAGGGTGGAACTCAGAGCCTAGTCGTTAAGGGCAAACATCTTGATAACTTTGCCGCTAAGATCCGAGAGCAACGCTTGGCACAATGGTAAGGAACTCAGTTGGATTTGGAGTATCCGTTGTGTGGCTGGACTGCGATACGTAATCCCTAATGAGACCACGTTGCACTTTGAAGTAAACCTCGGTTATGCCGAACACATTGACCGTATCCGAAAAAGATCCGTTTCGGTGTTGCTCCTACTTCGGTGACTTATCCACTTGAAACGAGTCGTCGACTTAAGTCATGGGCCAGAAGCAAAAATATATGGCATTCAATGTCTATCAAATCACTATCATTGTTGGAATGATTTTGTAAGCAGCTCTGTGTGATGGATATTGACAGCATTTGTCAGCTGATTGAAAAGATCTTCCTCGATTCACAGTAAAATGAAACTCTGCAAGTAGATCGGAAGCTCCGCTTCAAACGGCTCGCGCAGCGTTGACCATAGATTGCTTGCACAATTGACCCAAACCTGGATTAAACGAGCACGTCTCAATACTAAGTCCGCGTTTCAGTTAGTTAGGTGTTCACAAGATATGGTCTTACACGTAGTTGCATATAAGAACCAACTATTCTGGCTAGAATGAGCATCACCCTGTTCCGTGTAGACGGTAGTTGGATTGTTCCATTTCATGGTACGGCAATAAGGAGAATGAAAAAATGCATCGGACGGTATACGCGGTCAACACCGCTTTTACCAGGAAAACTATGTAAAACAATTCCATCGTCATCATCAACAGTACAGATTAGCTGAAGGTGAGAAATACACCACAGCTGTGCCGCAATAGAAAAAGATAGGAGAATAAAAATTTTCTCTACAAAAAAGATGATGTTAAATATTATATCTTGCTTATTG